GAAGACTAAGACAGTAAATAAGCTGGTATCTCCACGGTCTTGTAATGTGCCTCTTAGGGGAGAAACAGCCCGCACTGATATGGCTTCTCTGTGTATTCTAGAAGGATCAGGAGGAATGAAGGTGAGTCAGTGTGTACCTAATTGCATTGTGACTGTTTATTTTCTGAAGCTCCATGCTCCACACCTTCCCCGCAATGCTGGGGGAATTCCAGTTAGGAGGAAATACCTCGTTCGAAAATATCCACCCAAAGAGACAAAGAAGGTGGCAGATCTCCTCGTAGCATATCCTGCTTTCCCAAAGGTGCCCAGGGAACCAGTGACTTTTTCTGGTAGGGTCAAACTTCACATCTTTTCTTTGGGCTTTGGTTTTGCTAAGCTGAGCTTTAGTGACACCTGGCTCTGGGGTTGGTCTTTGGTATGTTTGTGTGTGCTGTAGGACCAGGGCTGTTTGGTGATGGCTGTGAAGAGATTCTCCCCCATCACATTTTGGGAAGTCTCCAGGAGTTCAAGATGGAAGCCTTGGCTAGAGGAAACACTCAGGTTGGTCTGTAAAGTTACAGAAACGCTGCTGTGCGGCGCTTTTCTTGAGGTGGAGGGCAGTGCCTACGGTACCTTTGGATGCTTTTCAGCATCTGTCAGGAACAGGTCAGGCCTGAGGTGTGGTTTTCCCAGCCTCCTCATCCTCTGCAGGGAGGGCTTGCCTTCAGAGGAACTGCACCAGCAGGTTTTGAAGTCCTGTCTGCAGGACGAGGTCAGGGAAGAATGACAGAGACTTCCTCTTCCGTATGTGCTGCTGCTGGTGGCGTCAGGCCCGCGCGGGAAGAGCTGCTGTTGCAGCAATGCCGTTGCTCGAGTCTAATTACTCAGATAAATCCTTCCATTGTTTCATAGTGCCCTGGTTTTGTTCCTCTCAGAGTGATAAGGTAAAAGTACTGTCAATCTGAAGAAGTCTTCTCTCCTCTCCCGTTCTTGCTGTGATGGCTGTGTGTGCGTGGGGAGGTTAATTTAACATTTTTTTCTCCTCAGATAGCAGATTTTATTGGCGTTTCTCAACCAGATGTTGCTGCAGCAGCTTTAAAAGAGCAACATGGAGGAGAGAAGAAGAAAAAAGTTCACACCCCACCAGCAGAGCACAAAGCTCTCCAGAACTGGCACCGTAATATGGCCATCAGGAAAAAGCAGGAGAAGTATCTGGGAGGTGTGAAAAGCTGAGGCCTCGTCCTGTGGAATTCTGTGTGCGGGTGGGGGAGTTTGGTGGCACCAGGGCAAACTGTAAGGGTCACAGCCAGCCGGGGTTCATCCTGGTGCCCCTGCAGCCTGCTCCCCTGTTCTCAGAGCTGCCCACGCTGCTGGTGCCAGTGGCCGTGGCTGCTGTGGGGAGGTGTGCGGGTGGTGCTGGCCGGGGGAAGGCTGGGGGGTTTGGTGGAGGACACGTGAACACCAGTAGCGGTAAAGGGTGTGCTCGGAAGTGCAGCACCACTGATTTGACATTTCTTCTTCACAGAAATTCTTCAGAGGCCAGCGAATGAATTGCTGATGAGCATCTCGGAGGATTACAGGCAGATCCAGGAAGAACGGGACCTCATTGACCGGAGTCTCCCTGCCCTGCTTCCCGGAAAGGTGAGAGCCCCACTTCCTCTGCATCCTGATCGCTCTGGTCTTGTGAAGGAGCGAAGACACTGGTGTTAGGAGTAACATCTCTGAAGACCTGTCATTAGGTAGTTCTCAAAGCCACTCTTAAGTCCGTAATCCTAGTGTGCAAGCAGAGCTTTAAAAATAAAACCATGGACTGTGCTGTCCATGCTGGTCAGAGGAAGGTGGTGGTGTGCTTTGGCTCCGTGCTAATGAACTGCTGTACGTGGGCAAGTGCCGTTTCTTCATTGTCACCGAAGGCTGCCATGCTCCGGGAAGTGGCATGGGGACGTGCTGCAATTGCTGTTCCAGGGACAGAAAGATGTGATAGCTTCAGGCTTGAATTTTAGTGATTGCCATGGAGAAAGGGGTGTGGGTAAATCAGGAGGATTATGGGAGTATCCTATGTTAAAATAATTTTTTTACATTTATAGCACTATCAAAGAATTTGCATTTATGTGAGGCGTTATTTTAGTATCATTCAACCTTCGTGTAGCGCTAGCTAGAAGAAGGACTTCTTTTGTCTTTCACAGCAGCCTGATAGAAACTTTGGCTTGCTCTGCAGAAAGTGATAATTTATAGACTTTTAAAATATCCGTGTGAGCAGAGTTGGACCCTTTCTTTGTAGCTTCTAGTCCCTGTGAAAATAGCAGGCAGCCATATGCCTCTGAAAGCGTCAGCGGGAGCCTTGTCCTCCGCCCTAGGGCTACGGAAGAGGAAGTGAGTTCTGGAGCCAGCCCGAGCGTATCGGAGATGAACTCACCGGCCTGACGATGACACTGACTCAGAGGGAACGTGGCTGCCCAGAGCCAGTCACTCACGTGGGGAAACCCCGCACTGTCCGGATGGAAGTGGGTAAGGGAACGTCACAGAGGGGTGATCCCACAGAAACGGGGTGCAAGCGTGGAGGGAGCAGCAGAGAGACACAGCGACTGCTGCGAGCACCGAGGCTCCCGTTAGAGTTCTCCCTTCTGATAGGTGCAGCCCAAGCTGCTCCCCATCACCTGTTGGACCTCCTCTTTAAAACGCCGTGAGACCAAAGTCTGGCAGAGAGTGGAGTTCATAGGCGTGTGGGCGTGTAGACAGTGAGCTCCTGTATGGGTATTTCCACAGGTCTGAAGCCTCCAAAGAGGATCCCTTTCCATCTAACCTGGGATAAGAGTCTTTTCCTGAAACATCGACGGCAGGAGCTAAAATCTGTCCTGGAGGAGCTAGATTTTTACAAGCCGGTAAGACTAGAGGAGTGAGGACATCTTTGCATCTCTTGTCAGATGCTGTAGGGTAACATAAAATTGCCACGAACTGGATCTGAAAAAGCATTAGGGACCTAAAACTTAGCCCCACAGCACTTCTCTTGGAAGTTCCCAGATTTCCAAAGGGCCACACCCATGAAAGAGTTGTCTGTAATCCCTAAGTGTTGCGTGGAGTGGTCCAGGAGCCTCAGAACAGGACCCTGAACCAGCGGGGTTGTGTCAATGTTGTGACATTTTTCTGTATGTCCAGGATCTGGATGGGCTGGAGGTGATTGGTAAAGGGCAGCCTTTCACGTCTGTCTCAACAGAGCCTTTTCCACGTTCCACCACTTCTGAGGAGTCTGAGACCCTGTAAGTTTTACTTCGTGGCAGAAGTAAAGAATTTTGAGCGTGCACCACCAGTCTGTAAGGGTGTCCTTAGCTGCTCTTATCCAGAACGGAGAGGGGTCTCCACTGGGGCACAATAAAAGGCATATTCTAACATTATAATCACCAGATTTAGGAATCAAGCAGCTCCTCTGTGCCTTGGGGCCTTGTGCCTAAGGAGCAAGAATCAGACAAAAGGCTTTTTTGAGGCCCTTCTTCCAGTCTTTCCTCTGGGTGGCTCCAGAGCTTACGTTAGGCAGGGTGGGGATTCTGCTCAAAATGACCTCCTCCCATCTGGTTGGCATCTTCCAGTCTTCCACTTCCATCGTTAATTTGCCTTTTTTCCCCATCCTGTCCATCTGGAAAGGGCACAACCCAAGGGCCTCTTCTCCTTATTCAGTCATGCACCCTCAGCCTTCCTTAGGCAGGTATCAGTCTTTAATATTCTGCCCTCCTTGATGCTGACAAGTAGCTGGAGTTTACCACATCTGCAGGGCTCTGTCCCTAAAGAGGTGACTCTGTGGAACAGCTTTAGTGGGGATTATTTCTTACAGGGTCTTGTAAATCACCCCTGGTTCTCCCCTCTCTGAAAGTGAATTTCACTCCACAAAAACACGGCTTCTTGTTTTCTTTAGCAGTGACTCCTTAAGTGACCACCCCGCTGTGGTTCCAGAGGCAGTACTGGGTCCATCTCTGGATTTCTGTGGCCAGCCTGCTCGTTGGATCGACTGCACCACTTCTGGCAGGGTACATGTGTCTGCTTTTTATTCTTTAGTCAAGCTAAGCTTGCTTGAGTTCCCAGGTGACAGCTGCACAGTGCGTGTCACTCCCAGGCCAGAGAATGGGGGATTTATTCTGAGCAGAACAGGGTTCCTGTGTTTGCTTCGGAGTGATCTAGAAACAGAAGGGGTTGCTCTCCGTGTGGTGTGAAGCTCGGGTTCCTGGGTGCTCTCTGTATCGTGGCCACTTCATTGGACCCGCCTTGCAAGTTCTCCTACCAAGGCTCAACCCCTCATTTGTGATACGACTTCAAGCAAGATAAATCTTGCCAGATAGAGTAGAAATCGTTATCTTTGTCTTTTCCTCTTCCTTGTAGGATGAGATTGGCATTGCGGCCCGGCTCACCTTTGAGACTTTGGCTGGTGAGAAAGCTGAAAGCTCCCTGACGGTGAGCAATGACGGCACAGCTGCCATCTGGTACAACTGGGAGAGGCTCCCCCAGCAGATTCCCTCCAGAGAAACCAAGGGGAAGAGGATGCCGTGTTTCTACTTTGATACCAGAGCAGGTATGAGAGCTGCTGATCTCCCAGACCTTTTTTATTCGGGCCAGAGAGCACGTACTCAGGAGTTATCTGAGATGTGGAGTCTGACTAATGGCAGAGCAAGCCTGTTGGGTGATTCTCCTTGGAAAGCCACCCTGGGCCTCAGAGCTGACTCACACCAAAAGAGGTGTGCGAGGCAGATCCCTTTCGTGGGACTTCAAGGAAAGGAGGTTGCTCCTACTCTGAATGTAAATGGGTGGAATATTGAGAAGTGAGTAACTTTCTGGTGGCAAACTGGGCATGATCTGGCAGAGAGAGCACTGAGCTTGCTGTAAAAGGAGCGTGCAGTGGAAATAACACCGGTTCAGTGACGTGGTGACTGGGGGTAAATCTGGGAGGAGAAAAATAGCTGGACAAGGTGTGATAACCAGCTAAGCTGTGGGGAAATATACAGAGATAAGGACACTCGGGGTGGGGTTGGAAAAGGGTCAAATTAACCAGGTGGTTTCTTGCAGACTGATGCATTTTCTCTCTGATTTCAGGTGTAATTTTGCCTGGGGAAACTAGAAAGTTTTCCTTCCTTTTCAAGTCAGAGAGAGCAGGCATTTTCAGCGAGTCCTGGGAATTTAGGACACATCCTCTGTTATTAGGAGGAGCTCTGCTGCAGGTGACCCTTTGGGGAATTGCTGTGTATGAGGATAAATTGGCTGACCTCAGAGAGGAACTGGAGGTAACCAAGCATGTAACTGGGTAACTGTGAGCTTTGAACTTAATATGCAAATAGAGGATAAAGGTGGGAGTGGATGACATGGTATTTTTATTGCTGTGCAATTAAGGCTGAGAGTGAGACGATTAATTATTTGCAGAACATCTGTACATACTTGAGCAGGTTTGCTAAACAAGATGGAAGAACTCTGCAGCCTATTGTAATGTTGTTAATAAAGACCTGATTGTGTCTCCTAAACGGTTCACACTGGTCCTTTAAAGAATGGACCTTTCTGTTGGTAATGAATTTCATTAGTTACTTGGTGGGGATGGGCCTATGTGCCGTACCCTGGGGTATCAGTTAAGGTATAAATTGAAAATGACGCTACGCTTCGAGAAGTGTGGTTTGGGGGAGGATTTGTAGGGTTTATCTGAAAGGCTGTTGTAAGTATTGCTGCTCTTAGCGGGGTTTGCAGTTATTCTTGTCCTTGAAACCCTGTATAGTGTAGACGTGTGGTTACTAGCGTGGGGGTGAATTTGTTTGTGTGTCTGTATATGGAACGGGGACTGAGATGTTGTTCTTGTTGCGGTGCCTCAGAGTGACCTGGCCGCTCGAGAAGGTGCTACTATAGCAGAAGAGATTCTCAAGGAACTTCTTGTCCGAATTCGGACCCCAGAGCGCACCCCATCTCCTGCGGATGCCTGTGTCACAGAGGAAGAGCTCTTCCACCACAAGAATCCCGAGGTGACGGTTGCTGTTTGATGGGCTACACAACTGAAACAGCAGGGAGGGAAGACCCGTGGGGCTGGTGCGGCCCTGGGTTGCTGGAGGCTGGCATAGTCTGCCCTGGTGGCTTTAACCATTAGCTCCTGTCGCTGTTTGCCTTTTCCCGTTATCACAGCTGCGCTATCAGCACCGAGTGGTAAAGCAGCTGCACGACCTGTGGCGACAGCACGTGACTGTTCCTTCAGCCTGGGAGGAGAAAGCGCCCTCGGGCCCCAAGAGCGCTGCGGAGGGCACGCAGCACCAGGAGGGTCCCCCAGGGGCTCTCCCTGCTCGGAGCAGCACCCCGGAGGTCCCGGGTTGGAAGAACGCACCTGAGGAGGCGCCGAGACAAATGACGAACGGGGAGAAGGAAGGACTAGGGCCCTCAGGATGGAACTTCTCCTTCGAGGACTTGAAGCAGGTGGTCACTCCGGTCCCCTCTAGTGCTCTGACAAGCCGATGGCGTTTGCATTTCCCGACAAATAGGCTGGCCTGCCCCAGGGTGAGCCCGCCCAAGGGTCTGCTGCCAGTGTGCTGAGTGAGAGAGCGTTTGTGATGTGTGTCACAGGAAAGACACAGCTCTGCTGACCACACCCTCAGTGCTCTTGTAAAGAGATTCCCCAGAGAGACTTTGAGGGCTGTTGTGTGAAGAAGAAAAGAGAACCGCACAATGCAATAGATATTTTAAGCTCTTCCCCCCCCCCCCATTAGCTTCCTGTCATCCCAGGACAGAATGCGGGGGGTGGGCTAATCCTACAGCCTCCCGTGGCTTCTCCAAAGGCTCCTCTCCTGGGAGAGTCCTTCCTATTCGTCAGAGGCACTGAGGGGGCACTCAGGGCAGGCTGTGGGTCAAGTACAGACCTCCCTAGAGGAAAGCGAGAGCGGTTTGGATGCCATCAGCACTGCTTTTCTGTAGCGCTCTCTTGGAAACCTCCCTGCTGCGTTTGTAACTCAGCCTGACTTCCAGGCTGCCTGGCTCGCCTAGAATCCCTGTTCTCCAGCGCACCTGGGAAGCTGGAAGGGGCTTAGTGTGAATCGAACAGAGGGGTCTGGGATTGCTCCCCAGATCTTGGGTCACGTGCGCACCTTGGCCAAATCCCAGCTGTCTAGGAGGCCAGACCTGGGAGCATGAGCGCCCAGTGCGAGCTGGTTTCAGACTGGTGTCCAGGAAGAGAGCTGTGGTGTGCTCTGTTGAGCTCAGGGTCTATGGGCTGGGAATGAAGACTGAGAAGAAGGGTTCTCTGCACAGACCTTGCGTTTTCTCTTACATCAGGCTATAAAGTCGATCCCCGAGGAGGAGCAGCGAGAGGCAGCACTGACCCAGCTCAACAGGGCAGCGCTGGAGCTGTGTGTTGAGCAGATGCCAACGCAGTCAGACCTTTTGTACCAAACCTGGTGCGTTACTTTTGCACGATAAAGCTTGTAAATGCATCGTGTGACCAACAGCCTTAGCGAGCTCTGTTGCAAGCGCTGTGATTCAGAGTGCAGATAATTACAGGAGTTCTAGAAGTCTTCCTTACACTCTTTTTTTTTTTTTTTTATATATAGATTAATTGTAGCAGCTGTCTAGGACACAAATGCCTTTTTTTTTTTTTTCAGGAGATAAGTTTAGAGTATTAATGTAATTTTGGGGAGCATACTAGATTATTTCTGGCAAGATTAGTCTATATTTATGAAACCTTTGGATAATTTTCTATACCCTTTTACTCAAATAACTGAATCCTCCCTCATACAGTCTCTCTGTTCTTTACTCAGGCTTTCAGACTGTATAAACATATCAACAGCTTCTAGTTGCTTCTAAATTAGAAGGGTGCAGGTTCCTTTCGGTAAACACAGAGCGGGCCGATGCTGCTTTACCAACGTGTGTCATGCTGAAGAGCAGATCTAGTTTCACAGTAATATTTATGGGTCCATATGAGCCCATTGGTTTGCAAACCACGGAGAGCTCAGTGGGCTCAAACACGAGGAAGGTAGTTTAGCATCCCTCTGCACAGATTTTCAGGTGGTGGGTGCTATTTTATTGGTTTAGTTGGACAGAGCAGCTCTTGGCTCTGAGGTGCCTTCGCTCCTGGGCACAGGGTAAACCAAGATGGCAACTGCTCTTCTGTCTCCCTTCTGATCCTGGTCCTTTTGTCAGTCTCCAGCTGTGGCGTGAAACAATTGATGGTCTGGTGAGTCACGCTCTGAGGCTGAGATCCCTGCTTGGCTTGCCTGAGAAGGACCCCTATGTAGATGCTGTTCCAGGGGAAACAGGTAAATGGTAGTTTTAGTACAGCAACCGTTTTCTGTGGGCTGTTGGAAATCCAGAAAACGTGCTGAATTTCAACTGAAATGGCCATTTCAGCAGTTCCCCTCGAAGCTTTTATAAGAAAATGCACCAGAAAAAATGGCAGATTGTGTGATACAAATTGTGATCTGTGGTTTGGTGTCGCTAACAACCAAACAAACCGCCACACAAAGAAGCCTTTTAATTTAGCTAGATGTAGCCGTGGTTTTCGCGCAGACCAAGCCAGAAAACCCTGTTAGCTGTCTTAAAGGCTTGTTCTGATGCACGTCTGAGACGTGTTCATTCCTTATTTAAACAAAGTACTCGTCAAGGTGGTGGTTTTCAGCGCAGTACAGCTCACGTTAATAAAAAGAGGGGAAAATACATTGTGGAAGCAATATACTTCCAAGTGCAGTGGCTTGTCTTTCTGGATGGGGAAAATGTTGCTTTTGGGTGATTGAAATTCTTTCTTCTGTAGTGGAAGTAAAGCAACCCATAAAAGGAGGAAAGGAAGACAGAATAACCACTAGGAAAGAAGAGAGAAGGTCGTTTGGTGGTAAGGATAAAGAAGGCAAAAAAAGAACAACAAAGACAGCAGGGAAGGAGAAAGAGGTATATGTGGGCATGGCCGTTGAAACCTAAGGGCTGGGGACGGTGTGATCCGTTCTGAGGCGGTGTATCCTGAGTTTGAGCTGATTTCCAACCCGGTGAAAGAGCTGCTGCTGCTGGGAGGTGCATCTTGCAGTAGTCTGGAAGGTGTTTTGACCTATGTCACTTCTCATTTTTGCCTGTCCCTGAATAGGAACGTGCAAGCAGCAGGAAGTTAAAGATGAGAAAAAGCTGAAATCTTCTACTTTGTGGCAGGAGGTGAAAGAGGGGGCACAGCCTGTGGAAGCTGGAACTACAGATAGAGTAGAACCTCCTCAGGAGCAGGTGGACGCTACTTTGTTTGGGACGTACCAGGAAAAACTTTATATTGAAGTGAGTCTGACCGAAGCTTCTGTCTTTGTTTCTTGGTTTTGTTCTTTGCTTACGTTGAAGCTTAGGTGGAGAGGCAAGCATTTTGTTAGAAAACTGACAAGCACATGTCTGTAACTGTGCCACGAGGTAAGCGTGAAATGCAAAGTAAGGCGTCCTTTATTCCAGCCTGGAATCTCTTAACGTAAATCCAGCTGTCACATAGCCACAGATGGGATTTCTATCTGGGATGTCTTTAGCGTGCTCTTGAGGGATCAGCAGAATTAATTGTATCTCGGATAATGTTAAACACACTTCATTAGCCAGAGAAGTTATTACTAGAGCTAAAGGCTGTTAGGAGGCAGCCGCTTTCATGTGGTTGTGTGCGTGCCCGTACGTTAATGTGCATCAGAAACCATCTCTCTGTCAGGCTCATCGTTGGGATTTCTTCATGTGCTTTCACTGCAACTCTGTTCTGTTAATTTCTGCTGCAGGTTTACGGGCTGCTGGATTCGATGGTGAGCAAAATGGTTTCTTTATTTGAGGAACTAAAGAAAAAAGGTGCTCTAAAGTGGGAGAGTGAAGCCCTTTGTAACTAGAAATAGGCTTACTTTTAAGAAATAAATAAATAGCCATATTTACATCGATCAAGTGGAGATTCTCCTTTCTGAAGCGATGCACTGGTTACAAATACTGGGCTGCCTCTTTCCTGACATGCTGTGATGCAAGACTATTGCTAGATCATCTGTTACTGCTACAGATGATCGCTTGCCAAGAAGAGACAAGGCAAGAAATATCACATCCTCAGAAACCGTTGGGAGTAGAAAAGACTGACATTTCTGCTAAGGAAGAGGAATTGAAAAGTGCCAGTCAACGCGAGATATGTCTTATTTGTTGCTCGATCTTGCTTGGCTAGCCGGTGGGTGAGCAGATAGTGTTCCTTGTACTTAGGAGCCCAGGTACCAGGGCCGTAACTAGGAACGATCCATCCTGGTTTTGATTGTGTTCTTGACTGCTTGTGCAGGGGCTCGCTGGCAGCAGGCTTCTCTGAGGCACTGGGGATCCCCGTGAAAGCTCTGTCCCCAGGGTGTGCCGCCCTGCCTGCTTTTCCACCCAGGACTTTATTTCTTGGGCCGATCTGGCCGTCCCTTTCCATCCGGCTCAATGTACCCATGCGCCGTTCTGAGCCGCCTCTTCCTTGCTTCCTTCCAATTGCTCCGGAGTTAAAATGAGTG